TAGCTAAGTATTAGATTGTGGATTATAAGTAAGGGTATGCCCTTTTTCGCTGATGAGGTGTCTTTTCGTAAAGGACAACATTATAAGGACAAGTCCTAAAGTGGACAATACCTCATAGTTAGATACAGTCCAACAATCCTTGTATCAATAAATGGAATTGTTTATGGGAATCCCATACTAGCCTTAGAGAAAGCACATTCCACCTTTGATATGGGGGCTAGTGTTGAAGGGGAAAGATTTCACATCCTTACTAGCCAGGGATCAAGTTGTGATTTATAAGTAAAAGCATGCCTATTCCTCTATAAGGCACCTTAAAATGGGGGCTAGTGTTGAGGGTGAAGTATCTCACATAAAAGAAAACAAAATCCACCTTTAACTAAAGGCTAGTGATGAGAGGGAAAGATCTCACGTCCTTGATAGCAAAGGAATGGATTGTAGCTTATAGGCACTTCCCTGTACTAAGGTGTCTACTCTTAAAAGAAAACACCATGAGGGCAAGTCCTAAAGTGGACAATACCTCATAGTAGGACATAGCCCAATAATCCTTGTATTAACAACAAATGGTGTCGTCCATGGCAATCCCTAAAGACCTTTAGAGAAAGCACATTGCACCTTTTATTGGGGGGCTAGTGTTGAGGGTGAAAGATTTCACATCTTTAATAGTTAGTGGTCAAATATGATTTATAAGTAAGCCTGTTTTCCCTAAAGAAGTACTTTTTCTTAAAAAACAATCTTGAGGGCACTCCCTAAAATAAACAATATGTTGTAATTTGGTGCAGTTTACCAATTCTTGTATCGATAGAAAATTTTGTAAAGGAACCCTATTTATATATCCTTAGTGAAAGAAATATGTTGTCACTATTTAAAAGTGCTCAATTATAAAAGTTATCTCATATTTACTAAATTAAGTTACTAATTTAATTGCTAAATTTATTTACTTATTTTTAAGTTAATTATATAATTTTCAATTATAAAAAGGATGTAAGAACCTAATTTTACAATTGTACTTGTACTTTTACTTTGGTTCAAAAATAATAAAAAGTTAACAAAAAAAAAGAATATTCTAAAACGAAGTAAAAGTATTTGATAAGAGAAAGAGACAAAGAGAGGTCAATCCAACCATTGGATTTCATACTTTATTCATATAGATCATCCATGATAAGTTTGAAGTTAACTTGAATATGTCTAACTATTTATTCGATAAGAGTAAATTTTCAATCGATAGATATTGTTAGCTTTATTAGCTTTAAAATGACTATAAATTTTCAATCGATAGATATTGTTAGCTTTATTAGCTTTAAAATGACTATACTTTTGAAATGATAAAAAATTATCTTTGAACTTGTTTGAGTGATCCTTGAACTTGTTTGAATGATTTTTGAAGTTGTTTGAATGTGTTTTTCAATTTAATTTATAACTGTTAAAATTGCCATACATTTGCTTTTGAAATGCCTAAGTGTTTCCATGTGAAAAATGATCAAGATTACTTTAATGATCTTTAAACTTATTTGAATTATTTTTAAAGTTGTTTGAATGAGTTTTTGAACTTGTTTGAATAGATTTTAAACTTGTTTAAATAAGTTTTGAAGATCTTAAGTGTTTCCCTAAGAAAAAGTTTCAAAATTGTTTGAACATTATTTGAGTGATCCTGGAAATCTACAGCCTTGATTTAGATGTTTGGGTGTTGAATTTGTTTAAATGAGCTTTATATCTTTCTAACACTTAATCTTGAGATGCTTAAGGGTTTGATTCCCAGAATAGGTTCATCAAGTAAAAAGGCAAAGGAGTGTAAAGCAAAAACCAACTAAAAAAAATCTTTAAAAAGCTTTTTGTCTCTTATCTATCCTTAAATGTTCATCATCTACTGATAGATGTTCCACATCTATCGACAGTTGTGGTTTTTCCTAGTATCTATCAATAGATACACATGAACTATCAATAAATATTGACTGTTGGACACAAAATTCAAAAGGAAAATGGTTAGTTTCTTCACCAGCTCCAAAGATTTTCCAACTATAAAAGGTACTTCTCCAGCACATTTAGAAGGTTAGAAGAGTAGAGAAAATATCATTTGAGCAAGAATCAAAACTTATGAGGAAAAAAAAGAAAAAGAGAGAGAAACCAAGTTAAAGCAAGCAAATTAATTTCTTTGCTTCCACTTAGCTTTTAAGTTTTCTTGTGCTATAATTCCTTTATGCCTTCATTCTCATCTTTTGTAATCATCTTTATCACTATCATACTCTTCCAACTTTGTATTTACTTAGCAAAATCCATCTTCAAGAGGTAGATTTGCTTCAATCTTGTATGAGAGAAAAATTTAGACCTTAACCTCTTAAAGGTAATGTTGAAAGGTTGTACTTGATCCATAAAAGGTATTATATTGAGAGGTTGTGCTTGATCCTTGAAAGGTATTGCAAAGGTTATGCTTGATCCTTAAAAAAAAAGTATTTTTTATAGTAGATTTGAAACTCTTTAGCTTGCTAAGGAAGAGGACATAGGCACCTATAAAAAGGGCCAAACCTCTATAAATTTTTTGTTTCTTTTCTCTCTAGTTTTTACTCCTTGAACTTGTGCATTTCATCTTGAAGAAGTTTTAGAAATTTGTCTACAACTTACTTATTCTTCACTTTTACACTTGTGCATTTTACTTTGAAGAGTTTGAAAATTTTGTTTTCAATGTGTGTGTTCATTAAATTGCTTATTAAATTTCCTTTGGCATGTTTCAAAGTGAAAAACAAATTTGAGAAATTTGTCTTCAAGCTTGCCTTCATTAAAAGTTTAATATGTTGAAAAGAATTTTTATAAATCCAATTCAGTTCTCTCTTGGATATTTCCTCATTATTATTGAATTAACATTCCTAACAAATATATATTATAAAAGACTCGATTGATGTGATACAATTATTGGATTGACTTAAAAGTTCACGTGCATGATGAGTACAAATAGATTGTTAAATTCAACGGTAAATACTAAAAAGATTAAATTATACATGAAATTATAAAATGGTGTAAAACTTAAATTAAATTTAAACTAATATAAATGGTATATCCGTTTGGTTTGAAGAAGAGTAAGTCATCCCCTTTTTATCTATAGTCGGTTTTCTTCCCCTATTTTCTTTTTTTTGGGTCTTGTGAAAACGAAGGTTATTGATATTTAACATAGAAGCAGTGTTAGGTGCTTGCATGCATTCGTGTTTGAGAGAAGTCTTTCAATAGTTGTACCAAAGAAGTAAAATACATTCCTAATCTTGACGAGAATGATAATATAAGATAATTTTTGTTATCAAACCCCAACACTATATCGAGAAACCGAAAACTAAAGAACTTTATCAAATCTTTGTTACTCAATGACATAACAACTAATAAATCTTGCTGTAACTTCTTAAGCCTAATGCTCATTGTGCAAAGTGACTGTCATGGCGATGGGGTCTTATTTTAATACTAAGGAGAATTTAAAACTTTTAAGTCTAGATTTGAGTTTCACCTGAAATATGCTTCTTGTGTTAAATTTATAATATATTGTTATCATGTTACATTTATCCATCATAGTTGATTATAATTTCTATTTTTTATATGTAGTCTTGTACCTAGATTGTTTTGGCGCAACAATATTCTTGCCTTGGCTTAGTTAATATCTGGAGCTATAGAGTTTTATTTTCGTTAAATTATGCTTTTAATCCATTTACTTTATAAAAAAAGATGAATTTAGTTTTTATATAATAATTTGTGTAAATTGAGTTATTTTATTTTTGAAATTTGTTAATATCAATTCTAACACTAATATCGTTAAGTAGTGTGCCCATGTAGTGCTTGACCAAACCGATATGATATTAATCGAGATGACATGATTAATTTTTTTGTTCGTTAATTTGACTAAAAGAAAGAAAAACACATAATCCTTGAATTATCAAAATTGAATATCAAAATAAAGAATTGTGTTTGGTTGTTGGAGGCGAGGAAGAGAGAAAACTAATTGAATTTTCTGGTTTGATAAAATAGCAAATTGATTAGAGAAAATTTAAGATTGACACTTAATAACACTCTTTCTAACTGGTTAATGGGATAACTTCTCTCTTTACTGTGTTGTAGTAATTATTCCTAGCTTTTACTGTTTGGGCACTTTATCAATTACCGGTAGAGTGTTTCCAGATAAGGTTTATAAATAAGTATGAAGGTGGTTCGGCCAAGTGTTGTGAACAAAGTGGTGGATAGGAAGGAACAGATAGAAGAATTTTTTTGGAATTTCACCTTTTCCACAGCAATAAGAAAAGGGTGGGACAGTGCAGGCTTTTGACTGAAAAAAACAGTTTTAAGTTGTTAATTAATTAATCATATATATGGAAAAAACCCAATCCAAAGTCTCCACGTGCAACAGTCCTCACATCCCCATTTTAGCCAATTAAGCTGTTAGTGTTAGTTAGGTCTGAAAGGTTATCAAAAACCTAAAATCCCCCAATACTTGCATTACATGCCCATCTCGTTACACATAAATATCCAACAAAAACAATACTAACACCTTTTCTTTCTATTGCTGCATGTTATCTCACACACACATACGTATATATTTATATAATTTAAGTTTAAATAATCAATTTTGTAATAAGAAGATATTTAATTTATAATAATTCTTATATATATATATATATATATTCTCATAGCATTTGATTCATTGTAAGTATATATCTGTCTTCTTATATTAAAAAATTTATTTGATCAAATGTAAATACTTATATATATATATATATATATATAGCTTTATTCTCATTATCCTTGATTAAAAATCCTTCAAGTTTTAATTGGAATTCGGGTGTATTACTATTAGTACTTTGATCTATGATGGAAATGCTAGAAATTAATAAATTAAGATATAATTGGAAAGGTAGAGAAAAAGAAAAATAAAAAAGGGGTATGTATAAATGTAATGCTAAATGGTAGCTAGGTGGGTTATAAGTAGAGGTTGTAGGTTGGAAACTTGTAAAGACGTTGAAAGGAGAACGAAATTCACCCCACCAAGCAACCTCTCTCTTTGTGTGTAAAGTTGTTTTACTTATGGGCGTTTGTTAGCCTAGACGTTGCATCAATCGCTGAACTGGTCTGTCCAAACCCTCCAACTCTCTAACGGAAAACACTTCCCTCATCTCCTTCCCTTCCCTTATATCTTCTCTTTCCATCTACTTTCTCTTCTTGTCTTGTTTGCCCACCCGCAACCATCTTTTTCTTCTTTCTTTTCTCCATCAATAGCGCCCCTTCACGGCTGCACCCTTCCCCGTCCTTTATATGTTTTTGCTCCCATCCTTTAATCACTTCAACTCTTTCTTTGGTGCTGACCCATGATCATCAGGTTTCTGGAGATCCATCCAGCACCAATCTAGCTGGGGTATATATATATACACACCTCGGAAATACATACGTAGTTAATAGCTAGGCTAGGGTTGCTTGGATCTTACTACATAGCTTGTTGTGATCAGCAAAGATCAGATGTGCACCAGAGGCCACTGGAGGCCTGCTGAAGATGAAAAGCTCCGGGAGTTGGTGGAACGCTATGGCCCTCATAATTGGAACGCCATAGCCGAAAAGCTTCAAGGCAGATCAGGTGAAAGCCCTAATTAGCCCGGGCGCCGGCGCGCCGGGTCCGGCCGGGGGGGCGGCGGCGGACGCCCGCGCGGGGGGTCGCGGCCCGGGGCGGGGCCCGGGCGGCGGCGGTTGACGCGGCGCGGGAGGCCGGGCCGTGGTGCGCCGGGGGGGGGCCGGGAGGGCGGGGGCGCCGCGCGCGCGGGCCGGGGGCGGGGCGTCGGGGCTCGGCGAGCGCCGCGCCGCGCGGTGGCGGGGCGGGGGCCGCGGCCGGGCGGGAGGTCGGCCCGGCGGCGGCGGGTGGCGGGCGCGCAGGCCGGCGGGGCGGTCGAGGGGGGGCGGGCGTCGCGGGGGCGCAGGGGGAGGCGGAGCAGAGGCGCGGGGGGGGGCCGGGTCGGCCTATGGGGCGGAGCGGCCGGGGCCCTGGCGGGCGGTCCGCTGGGGGGACGCCGCGGGGCGTGCGGCGGCGGGCGCGGGCGTGATATATACTAGATATAGTAGTTGGTTTCTTAATATAATTAACCCATAGTCTTTTTCTCGTACGAATATGCATCTCTTAACAAGACCTTCTTGGCTAGGGTTTCAATTTTCATGTTAATCGATAACATCCGTACCCAACAATCCATATGCTTTGCTGCTAAATGAAAAATAAAAATGATACTATTATAAGTCTGCCTCTAATAAGTAGTAGTTAATTAATTGCTAACAGAGGAGGCATGTTCTGATTGAATCAGGCAAAAGCTGTAGGCTGAGATGGTTCAACCAGTTGGATCCGAGAATCAATAGAAGCCCTTTCACGGAAGAGGAAGAAGAACGGCTTTTGGCTTCTCACAGGATCCACGGGAACAGATGGGCTGTTATTGCGAGGCTTTTTCCCGGTCGCACTGATAACGCCGTAAAGAACCACTGGCATGTCATCATGGCACGTAGATGCAGAGAACGATCCAGGCTTTATGCCAAAAGATCAGCTGGCCATCACTCAACCACCCTACCCGACCATCGAAAGCCTTCCCCTAAACCACTCCATCAAGCTGTTCACTCCGAGTCTGAGATAACGACTAGTTTTGCTCCACTTTTCGACAAATACAAGCAAGGATATCCCTACCCCTACCCTTTCCCTCCCCATTTTTTCAAAGAGTTTTACGCTCGCGACTGGAATCCAACCCATTGTAGGACAATCACGGAAGGTGCGTAATATGTTTGTAGTGAAATCTTTCCTTAATTATAGCTGTGCTGTGCGTATAAACCTAGAAGATGTGATGAACATGTGTTTCTTCAGATCTTCTAGCTATCCCATGGTCATGTTCCCTATATAATTAACAATAATATATACTGCAGATAAGAATCGACCAACCGAATTCTATGATTTTCTTCAAGTAAATACAGACTCCAATAAAAGTGAAGTGACAGACAACACCAGGAGAGATGATGAGGAGGTAGATCAGGAAGCTATGGAGCAGCAGAGCAAGGCTGGGGCTTCATTCATCGATTTCTTATCGGTCGGAAGCTCCTCGTAACGTTTTTGTCTTGATCACCCTTCACGATCATACATAGATATCATTGCGAAAGAATCATCAACTTACATCAACACACTGTAGAAAAAGACAAAAAAAAACTAATTACAAGCTTAATTTGCTAGCTGTTGCCACTGCATCGATTGACACAACATATTTAAGAAAATTTATCAATTATCTAGGCGTTATATAGAAACCAAATGACATGATTATGTGTGATATAGCCGAGGCTTTACGCAAAAAGCGCTGCTGTAAAACCCTTGTCAGTGGATCTCAGGAATGTTTAGCATTAAAATCATCATGTTCTGTGGTTTTTTTCTCCCTTGTGTTGGCCTGAAATCATGTTCCTCAGATACGTCATTAATTTGCATGATCTATTCTCTTCTGTAAATGTGTACCTTTTTCTGCTCTCTCTCTCTCTCTCTCTCTACACACACACACACACACACACACACATTGATCTCCTTCTTCTTTGTTGCTTGATCAGCTAGTTTCATTGAGTCTTTCCACCTCAAAAATGGGAAAATCCTAGACGCATGTCTCTACAGAGGTTGACCATTGTATATATATGTATATATTTGCCCAAAGAAAAACTTCTCCTTGTCTCTCTTTCTCTCAAAGCAAATGAAAATTTTGTGATTATAGCAATAATAATGGTCATGACTATATATTCCTGTTATCATTTTTATAACAAAACCCAGCATTTCAGCAACTGTATTTGCTCCATTTTATTATTTTAGATGTTTCACATATATTAGTATTGCGCTCTCAATACATATACAGCTCTAATATGTGTCAGAATAAAAGTTTGCCTTCTCTCTCTCTCTTCTAAATTTTTCAATAAAGAAAATGTCCTTTTCTGGCTGGTTGTTTGTTTGTTAGAAACCTTATTTTCTTGAGCATTGTTTAGGTGTAAAGTTTTCCCAAGATATAGTGATGCAATATAAGCCATCCACAATGACTTTAGCAGCTGATAAGATTCAATCATGGAATGTAGGATAATTTAACTAAAGTGATGGAATTTTGGACTCAGAAGTATGATCTGACAGGTCTATCAAACAACCCAATACATTTGTCACTCCTTTAATTGTTCATAAGCCACCATAAAGTTGATAAAATACTTGATTTATTTGTCTTGGGATTGATTGTGGCCCTTGTTCAGTGACATCGGATTGAGTTTACTATTTGCTTAACTTGATCTCAAGAATATTTATTGAAGAATTTACTTCCATTGGATGCGCATGGAACATTAATCAAAACTTGGGAGCTAGAGCCCTATGCAAAATGGATTTGTTGTAAGCATTAATACCTTAATTTATTCCCAATTGGACTTCTCTCAATGGTAGGAACTTGAAATTTTTTTACTTTAAGGTTTTAGATTCAATGTGAGAAGAAAGCAAATTTTCTCTCAACCTTGTGTAGCTTAAATCCCAATGGATTTTCTCATATATAAGAATGAAGGGAGCAATATATTTCTTTATTTCTCCCACGTAGGAAGATCAACTGATTTAAAAATGATGCTCCCGCCTCACAAATATATTTCTATATATGCTTGCACATAAAGTTTCTATAAGTTAAACGTTTCAGAAATTGTTATAAGAAAAAAGAAGAAGAAAGAATGAGGATAATAAAAAGGGGTCTTTTAGTACGTAGGAGCGATACAAAGGAGAGCAACGATTTTGTCACGATCCATTTTTCGGTGGGTCATGATTGACACAAGGACTTACATGATTATGGCTCACTAGACCTAAGCAAACCTAAACAATGTTGCTTACTAAATTACTAATATATTTCCCTCTGAGATTTTCACAATTAAACAAAAAAACCATAGATGTGCACATGGTCATCAACAAGTATTACAGTGATAAGAAAGGCTATCGATCCTTCAACGTTGATTCCAAATCTATGTTAAGTACTATAATTGAAACAAGCTAATTTTATCCAAATACCCAAAATTTTAGAAATGATTAAAAGTAAAACTAAGTGACTAATCTAAACTAGCAATTGCAAACCAATATTGATGTAAAAGCTGTGGTGTAAAGCCTACGGTTATAGGTTCAATTAGTATTTCATTTGGATGCATGATTGGCTAATTACTCACTTCAATGGAAATTGATACTAGTTTAGAATCTTCAAGCATGTACGATTGTCCATCGAGATCTCGTACAATGACCTAACTTAATTAAATATCTATTTGCACATTTGGTTCACGAAATAGATAGAAATGGAATAGAATAGTGATTTTGTGAGAATAGAATAAGGTGGGAATAGAATTGAATACTTATTACGTAGTTTCGTACGATAAATGAAATAGGGTAAGAATAGATATTATGGCTTATTGAAGTGTTTGGTAAGTAAAAATAACTTTAGAATAAGAAGAGAATAGAATATTAAAAGACAAAAATACCTTTTATTATATATATGACTAATTATTTTTACGTTATATTATTTTTTAAAGATTAATAATTTATAATTTATTTAAAATATTAATATTTATAATTTATTTAAAATGTTCATAATTTATGATTTAAATAATAATATTTTATTTATAATTTAATAATTAATATTTCAAAATATTAATATTTAATTTATAATTTAAATGTTATTATGATTATGATTATTATTTTATTTTATTTTATTTTTTAAATATTAATAATTTATAATTACTTTTAAAATACTAATAATTGATCATTTAAATATTTATATTTTATTTATAAGTTAAATAATATTATGATTAAAATATTAATAATTCTAATAAATTTTTAAATTTAAAATATTTTTATAATATATTATTAAAATTGAATTTTTTTCTTTTTTATAATAATATTAATAATTGATAATTTAAATATTAATATTTCATTTATAATTTTATCATTAACATTTAAAAATATTAATATTTTATTTATAATTGAAATGTTATTCTGATTAAACATCAATAATTCCATAAATATTATGTAATGGCCAAGCACACTCTCCAAACTACATACTAACATCTGCCATAACCTTAGAAATAAAAATTGAGCTCAACATATTCATAGGAACATTCAATATCTCAAAAAAATGAAGCATTTTTATAAAGAAAGATAAAGAGAGAAAATCAAATCTAGTGAGAGAAAGTATTTGGTGTAGCTTTTGCTGCTCAATCTTCAAAGATTTCCTCCCCTTTTCTTCTTTTTCTCAAAGCTTATTTTTCGCAAAATGGTGTCTACTCTAGCCTCCTTTTTCAAAGTGAAAAGCTCATTTTTATACCACAAAAATAGCCCTAAGATTTATAAGATCGGATGGTGTAGATTTGTCAAGGTATGTGCTGACCTCTCTATTTGGTGTTGAGTTTTGGCTGAACAGGGGTGGTGTTGCAATGCTAGCCCTTGAAGGTTGCAGTGTTGGCTTGTCTACCTTCTTGCTATGTAGTCTGCAACAATCCTTCAACTTACGCAATTTTGACCATGATCAAATTAGAGCTGGATGAAGTGCTAAACATCAAAGTTGTAGTCATTTCTTTTAACTTTCCAATGGTTCAAAAATCTCATCAATCATACTTCTGTAGCTTAATTTATGCTCAAATTACTGCAGTATGGTTAGAAATCTCCTTAAGCATCTATGCATGGCTCTTTGCCATTTAAACCTGATGCATAAGCATCTAGGATTGTATTTTAATTAATTTAGTTTTTACTAATTTTATTTGATTTAGGAGTTTATTTTCTTTATTCCATTTAGATTAGGATTCTTTTCTTATTTTTATTAAGAATTTAATACTTTTAAGAATTAGTATTTGATTAGGATAGTCATGTTCTATTTAGGTATAGAACGCCTTTGTTATTTAAATCTCTTATTAACTACTCTAATTATATTACACAACTAGAAGTAGAGTTTTGTTAGGATGTAGGCCTATAATACTATACATAGGACCTTTAGACTTAGTTATGACACATTCAAGTTAAGAGTTAATAAATAATATTTTCTTAAGTAAAAGTGCTTATTTCTCTAGGCTCTTTTTAAATAGTAAGAGGTTTTAGTATCTCTGACCTAGGCAAACAAAATGGGATTTTGGTTTTTTTTTTTCACCTTAGTGGGTTTTTCAACCTTGCCAAAATTGGTGATTCTCTTTAGTGGGGTTTCCAACCTCTCCACAATTGGTGCCTTTCACAACGTCCAGGTGTCTTTACAACGTCTCGGTGTCAATTTGGTATCAGAGCGTGAGGATCATTGTTCGTTGCATAAATTCAGGTTCGCTGTCGAGTTTCGATACTCCCTGTTCGGGTAATTTTATTTATTGCATTATAGTTATATCATCAATTTGTTTCTACATCACCACATCATCATTGCCATACAATAAAATGTCACCAAAACATCAAAATTGTCAAAGAGATAATCATGAGATCGAGATTGCAGAACTATGTCAACAAATTCAAGAATTACCAGAGCAACTCGTAAGACGTGATACCATTCAAATCAATAAGAGCAGCTCTACTGATGAAGAGAATGACATTAACCCCATTTCATCAAAATTCATCCTCCGATGAAGAAGTTCCTATTCGTTGCTTGAGAACTGTTGCTACTAGAGATTTCAGAATCAAAGTCGACATTCTTGAGTTTGAAGGAAGACCTTATCCTGATGACTTCCTTGACTAGCTCTACATAGTGGAAAGAGTTTTCGAGCTCAAAGATATTCCCGATGAAAAACGTGTGCAGCTTGTGGCAATTAAATTGAAGGAGCATGCCCTTATTTGGTGGGAAATCTCAAACAACAATGAGAAAGAGAAGGTCGCAATAAGATCAGATTATAAGATAAGATGCGTCGAGAACTCAAACGTAAGTTCCTTCCTAAGTATTATCAATAAGAAATTTTTATCAAATTTCATAACTTGAGGCAATAAACAATGTCAGTGGAAGAATATACAATGGAGTTTGATCAACTTCACATGAAGTGCGATGTCCATGAACCTGAAGAATAAACTATAGCTCATTATCTTGGGGGTCTCAATGCTAAAATTGTAGATGTTGTTCAAGTACAACCATATTGAAACTTAAATGATGTCATCAGAATAACATTAAAGGTTGAGAAAGAACGATTGTGGAAAAGCTCAATGAGTTCATCTAGACAACAAGAATCGACCTCAAACCATGAAAGTCAAAGTTCAACAACTATTTCGCCTCCAAAGGTATACTTTTCCAAAAGTGCAAGCAATAATGGTAAAGAGAGTACTTCTACTCGTGTTTCTAATGTCAATAAAAAGTGCTTCAAATGCCAAGGATTTGGGCATATTGCTTCTAATTGTCTGAATTGAAGAATTATTTCCTTAGTAGAAAAAGAAGATTATGTGGATTGGGAAAAATTAGAACCAGCTTATGATGAATATGATGACAAAATAAAGGATGAGCTAGAAATATACAACAACAAAGAGATGG